CGCCCGGCCAAAAAGTTTAATATAATTCATTTATTCGGGGGCCGGGCGCAGTGGCTCACGCCTGTAATCCAAGCACTTTGGAGGCCAAGGCGGGTGGGTCACCTGAGGTCGGGAGTTCAAGACCAGCCTGACCAACATGGTGAAACCCCGCCTTTAAATAATAATAATAATAATTCATTTATTCAATAAATATTTGTTGAATATTTACTGTGTCCCTCTAGAGAGTATTAAAAAGATGAAGAGGCTGGGCGTGGTGGCTCATGCCTGTAATCCAAGCACTTTGGAGGCCAAGGCAGGCAGATCACCTGAGGTTGGGAGTTCAAGACTGGCCTGACCAACATGGTGAAACCCCGTCTTAAATAAATAAATAAATAAATAATAAAAACATGAAGAAAACTGATCCTAGCTTACACAGCATGTATAGTTTGGGTAGCTAGAAATGTTACAAAAAAAAAAAAAAAAAAAGTCTAAGCCAGGGCATGGTGGCTCACAACTATAATCCCAGCCCTTTGGGAGGCTGAGACAGGAGGATCATTTGAGCCCAGGAGTTTGAGGCTGAGGCTGGGGATTTGCTTGAACCCGGGAGTCAGAGGTTGCCATGAGTTGAGATCGTGCCATTGCATTCCAGCCTGGGTAACAAGAGTGAAACTCCATCTCAAAAAAAAAAAAAATTTCAGAAAGGTTAAGTAATGTATGCAAAAACATCCAGCAAAGGGCAAAACCCAGGTGTTTTGACTCTAGATACCATGCTGTTTCTACTCCAAAACTCATAACGGAACAAAGGGTATTTAAACTAGAATTCCAGATTTTGAATTTTCCCTTTCAATTTGAAAACAAATTATGTTCTAGGTATGCATTTGTGAGATGATAAATGCATGGAAGGAAACATTTATCTGGCAGACATTTCTTTAGTTCCTAGGTCTATATAGAGGAATAGACACAGTTAAAGTGAAGGAAATAACAAAAATTGTATTGCAGAGAGAGAAGTGATAATACATACCAGAGGCATAAGGTATGTAGGTGGCACAAAAGAGAAATGATCATTTTTGACGGAGGTGGTCAGAAGAGCATTTAAAAAGACAAGATACTTGAGATGGGGCCTGAAAGATGAGTAGGAATTTGTCCAGTAGATAAAGTGGCGGGATAATATTTTAGAAGAACTTCTGTGCCATGCAAAGAAATTTGGGTTTTATCTAGCTAACAAGGAGAAGGTTTTAAGTAAGATGTTAAATTTTTAAAATATTGAGTTCACCTTGGCAGAAGTGTGGAGAGTTGGTTAGGATTTAGTCAGGAAGTAGTGACACCAAATTGGAAACTGTTGTCCTCTAGACAGTTATATGATGATGCTGAGTATGAGTATGGCCTAGAGAGAGATTTAGGAGAAAGGCTTAAGGAATGGTAAGATATTGAGAGTAAAGGAGAGAGGGGCACGTCTAGGATGACTCCCACATTTCTGGCTTGGTTGACTGGAGTGGCTGATGATGCCTTTAAATGTGCAGAAAACACAGAAGAATTACAAGGAAAATGAGTTCAGCTTTAGGTATGCTGAATTTGAGGTATGTACAAGTGGCAGTATTCTGGATAGTTGAATATAATGTTTAACTTTGGATCTCGAGAGAGAGCTCTGGGCTCAATATATAGTGTTGACATCTTCACCATAGGACTAGGGATGATAAGGAGAATTTTCTGCATAAACAACTGCAAGGAAGCTCCTTAATTTACAGAGCTTTCCTGGAAGCCTGCACAACACTTCTGCTTTTATCTCATGACCAGAACTTAGGCATGTGACCAGAATTAATTTAGGCCTCCCACATCCCAGGGAAGCTGGAAATGCAGACGAAGCTGAGCATATTGCTGTCCAAAATAAAATTGGGATTCCTTAAGGAAGAAAGAATTGATAGTGGATCGGAAACCATCAGTCTGCCAGATAGATGATATAGTCAAATATATACTTAAATAATTTAGAAATATTGTGAGTCCAGTATGCATTCCAGATGTAAAAATTAAATTAATAAAAAAATTAAAAATAGAAAAACATCTTTTTTTCACTTTCACTTTTTTAAATTTTTTATTTATTTTTAATAGAGATGGGGTCTCACTCTGTTGCCCAGGCTGGTCTCAAACTCCCAGACTCAAGAAATTCTCCTGCCTCAGCCTCCCAAAGTGCTGGGATTACAGGTGTGAGCCATCACATCCATCCCACTTTCACATTTTATGATAAAAGTTTATTTAAAGTTTTCGCATGCATTTCGATATCAGTATCTTTGCTATTACTTTAACTAGTTTGGGAATCATCTTATGTTTTTTCAAAGCACAATCAGCTTTCCTAAAGTTGAGATATGGAAAATCTCTTCTAATGCCTTACTGGAAATTCTGTAAAAAGCCAGAAATGCCATTTGTGTATTAGGACATTTTTTAAAAATTTACTTACTAGACATATAATTGTAATCTCAATAATGTAACTTGCATTGCTGTATTTAAGGGTCCTTTATAAAGACTTATTTCCTTTGATTCTGGGTCAATTCACTGCAGGCCAGTTAACCTTCAGCTCCATTTATAATAACATCTAACCTGTAACTGTTAGGTTAATAACCCCCAGGAATAATTACTATGAATTAAATTTTCTTTTTTTTTTTTTT